GCTTGGGAGCCGCTGTCGGACCCTCCAGAGGCATCTGGACTCGGGGGTCACATGTGGGTGGGGGGTGACGGGGATGCGGGAGGCTTGCACTGGTGTGGCCATGACATGGGCATGTGGACCCTGCTCTGGGGAGACTGAGGCTTCTCCTGCTGTTAGCACTGGGGCCACCGGCAGGCTGGGCCATAGGGGTGCGGCGGGTCGGGTCGTGGGGTTGTGGCGGGTCGGGCTGTTGGCTGAGTCTGTACCCCTGTCGCAGAGACGTCCCCTGAGGGCCCAGCAGGCAGCCGTTGGCTCAGCTCCTTCCAATGGGACAGTTCGAAGTTGGCCAGTGGTAGAAGGTGCCACAGCGTGGGGTGGGAGCCCAGTCTGCTCGTGCCTCGGAGGCGGCCGGCTGTCCCCCGGCCTTCCCGGGGGATCCGTGGGGCCTCAGTCACCAGGGTGGGGCCCGGCCTGCAGAGCGGCTCAGCAGAGAGAATCTCGGGGTGCTGCCGGTGTTGAGGCTGGGGTGACCCTGAGCACCCCAGAGCTGTGCTCCCGAGCACACCTGGAACCCCAAGACAGCAGCAGTCCGTGGGGTCCCCATGCGGGCGGCTTCTCCCCCACCTGCCCGCCCAGCCCACGCAGCCCCGGGCGGGGGAGGCGCCGTTCCCGCTGGAGCCGGGACTCGGCAGCAGCTGGGCGGCGTGGAGGGGAGGTTCCCATGGCAACCAGCCGCGTTGGGATTGGAGGCAGAGGCAGCGCTCCTTCCTGGGAAGTTCTGGGGCTGCACGTGGCCGCGTGTGTTTCCTGGGGGCTGCCCCCTCGGGCTCTGCTGCTCCTCCTCAGCCCGCTGGGCCAGGCGGGGCGGAGCACTGTGCAGGGAGCCCCAGCTGGGAGCGCCGCCTCGTCTGTCCAGTGTGAGGTGCCCAGTGCTGACCGCAACTGTGCCTTGTGCCGGTGACATGGGGCTGGCCGGGCCCCAGCTCGGCTGCGGAGCAGAGACAGCTGGGCCGGCACAACGGCATGGTGAGCGTCAGATTCTGCAGTGACGCGTTTCCCTCAGGACGGCTAGGCTGCAGCGTCCCCCGCCCACCCGCACGCCCGGTGCAGGGGAGAAGGGCCAGTCGGAGAGGGGACAGGCGGGTTACACCTGGGCTCAGTCACCCCCGGCCCCCACCACACCGGACCCTGAGCTCTCTCTGTCCATATGGACGCTCGGCACCGCTGACATGCCTGACACCACACCTACACATCACCTCACAGACAGGCAACAGACATGCCTGTCACACACAGACACACCTATCACACACATGCCTGTCACACAGACACGCCTATCACACACAGACACACCTGTCACACACAGACACGCCTGTCACACAAAGACACGCCTATCACACAAAGACACGCCTATCACACATAGACACGCCTGTCACACACAGACACGCCTGTCACACACAGATATGCCTGTCACACACAGACATGCCTGTCACACACAGACACGCCTATCTACACAGACGCCTATCACACAGACATGCCTATCCACACTGACACGCCTGTCACACAGACATGCCTGTCACACACAGACACGCCTATCACACACAGACACGCCTATCCATACAGACATGCCTGTCACACACAGACATGCCTATCCACACTGACACACCTTCACACACACGCCTATCCACACTGACACGCCTATCACACACAGACATGCCTGTCACACACAGACATGCCTGTCACACACAGACACGCCTATCCACACTGACACGCCTGTCACACAGACACGTCTATCCACACTGACACGCCTATCACACACACACACCTATCCACACTGACATGCCTATCACACACAGACACACCTGTCACACACAGACACGCCTGTCACACACAGACACGCCTGTCACACACAGATATGCCTGTCACACACAGACATGACTGTCACACACAGACACGCCTATCTACACAGACGCCTATCACACAGACATGCCTATCCACACTGACACGCCTGTCACACAGACATGCCTGTCACACACAGACACGCCTATCACACACAGACACGCCTATCCATACAGACATGCCTGTCACACACAGACATGCCTATCCACACTGACACACCTTCACACACACACGCCTATCCACACTGACACGCCTATCACACACAGACGTGCCTGTCACACACAGACATGCCTGTCACACACAGACACGCCTGTCACATACAGATGCCTGTCACACACAGACACGCCTATCCACACTGACACGCCTGTCACACAGACACGTCTATCCACACTGACACGCCTATCACACACACACGTCTATCCACACTGACACGCCTATCACACACAGACATGCCTGTCACACAGACACGCCTGTCACACACAGACACGCCTGTCACATACAGACACGCCTGTCACACACAGACACGCCTATCCACACTGACACGCCTGTCACACAGACACGCCTATCCACACTGACACGCCTATCACACACAGACATGCCTGTCACACACATACACGCCTGTCACACACAGATACGCCTGTCACATACAGACACGCCTGTCACACAGACACGCCTATTCACACAGACACGCCTGTCACACAGACACGCCTATCCACACTGACACGCCTATCCACACTGACACGCCTATCACACACAGACATGCCTGTCACACACAGACACGCCTATCCGCACTGACACGCCTATCACACAGACACGCCTGTCACACACAGACACGCCTATCTACACTGACACGCCTGTCACACAGACACGCCTGTCACACACAGACACACCTATCACACACAGACACACCTGTCACACACAGACACGCCTGTCACACAAAGACACGCCTATCACACATAGACACGCCTGTCACACACAGACACGCCTGTCACACACAGATATGCCTGTCACACACAGACATGCCTGTCACACACAGACACGCCTATCTACACAGACGCCTATCACACAGACATGCCTATCCACACTGACACGCCTGTCACACAGACATGCCTGTCACACACAGACACGCCTATCACACACAGACACGCCTATCCATACAGACATGCCTGTCACACACAGACATGCCTATCCACACTGACACACCTTCACACACACACGCCTATCCACACTGACACGCCTATCACACACAGACATGCCTGTCACACACAGACACGCCTATCCACACTGACACGCCTGTCACACAGACACGTCTATCCACACTGACACGCCTATCACACACACACACCTATCCACACTGACATGCCTATCACACACAGACACACCTGTCACACACAGACACGCCTGTCACACACAGACACGCCTGTCACACACAGATATGCCTGTCACACACAGACATGACTGTCACACACAGACACGCCTATCTACACAGACGCCTATCACACAGACATGCCTATCCACACTGACACGCCTGTCACACAGACATGCCTGTCACACACAGACACGCCTATCACACACAGACACGTCTATCCATACAGACATGCCTGTCACACACAGACATGCCTATCCACACTGACACACCTTCACACAGACACGTCTATCCACACTGACACGCCTATCACACACACACGTCTATCCACACTGACACGCCTATCACACACAGACATGCCTGTCACACAGACACGCCTGTCACACACAGACACGCCTGTCACATACAGACACGCCTGTCACACACAGACACGCCTATCCACACTGACACGCCTGTCACACAGACACGCCTATCCACACTGACACGCCTATCACACACAGACATGCCTGTCACACACATACACGCCTGTCACACACAGATACGCCTGTCACATACAGACACGCCTGTCACACAGACACGCCTATTCACACAGACACGCCTGTCACACAGACACGCCTATCCACACTGACACGCCTATCCACACTGACACGCCTATCACACACAGACATGCCTGTCACACACAGACACGCCTATCCGCACTGACACGCCTATCACACAGACACGCCTGTCACACACAGACACGCCTATCTACACTGACACGCCTGTCACACAGACACGCCTGTCACACACAGACACACCTATCACACAGACACGCCTGTCACACACAGACACGCCTATCTACACTGACACGCCTGTCACACACAGACACACCTATCACACACAGACATGCCTGTCATACACACATGCCTATCACACACGGACATGCCTGTCTCTCACACATGCCTGTTTCACACACCCATGCACATACCCTTTCACACACATACACAGGCACGCCTGTCTCACACACAGACACGCCTGTTACACACACACACTTGCACTTAGCCATTTCGCGCCTGCTCACACCTGGGCGTGCTCCATCTCCCACTCCCCAACACACTCACACACTCACACTCTCTCACACAGACTCATACACACCCACACTGACTCACACATATACACACACTCAGACATACTCTCACACGCTCACACTCACACGCGGATACATACACTCACACTACACTCACACTATACACTCGCACTCACACACTAACTCCCCCACATACACACTCACACTAACACACCAACTCCACACTTCCACACCCTGACTCACTCACACATTCACTCACACATTCTCATGCGCTCACATGCACACACTCACATGCTCACACATCCACACCCCTCAGTCCCAGTGATGTGCCCTCTTGGCCTGAAGTGCCCCCTCCCCTGGAGCACTGCCTGGAGGGGCCTCACCCACCCCGGCCCCGCACCCCAGGCAGGGCTGCGCCATCCTGTGCCCACACAGCTGGGGTCAGCGGGAGCCGCAGCCTGGGGCCGGAGGGCAGCGGCTCCCTGACAGGACAGCTCTAGGTCAGCACTGCCCATCTGGCCACATCCGTGGCTCTCCCGGGGGCAGACAGGACCCAGGTGGGGACAGTCTCCTCCACGGCTGGCCTCTGCAGGGTGGGGTGGTCGCAGTGGCCTGAGACCGGCCCCTCCCCCAGGCCCTTCTCAGCGTCCCCCCATGGCCTGTGCCCTGACCGCTCTCTCTCTCTCCCCGCAGTGGCATGTCCTTCCGCTGGCCGGGCAGCTCCCTGGGAGGCCACGCGTGGATCCTCATCGCCATGTTCCAGCTCGCCGTGGACCTGCCGTCCTGTGAGGCCCTGGGCCCCGGGCCTGAGTTCCGGCTCCTGCTGCGGCCGCCCAGCCGGCCGCCCCGTCTGTGGGGGCTGCGCAGTGGACAGCCCACGCGGGTGCCCGTGCCGGTGTGGGGCCCACGGCCGCTGCCCCGCGCACATGGGCCTCTGCCGAACCCGCGGGGGGCCCGGCGGGCGCACAGACCCCGGGAGCAGGCGGGCGCCCTGGTGCCCAAGGCGGGGCTCGCCAAACCCCCCACGGCCACCAGATCCAGCCCATCCCTGGGCGCGGCGTCCACCACCTCGGCAGCCCCTGTGGGCAGCGGGGCCACCTCGGGCCAGCAACCGCTGAGCAGGGGCCGGCGGCACCTCCAGGTGGCCGCGCTCGGCGCCTTTGACCTCCGGCCCGGCCGGCCCACCCCGGAGCCCGAGTTCATCGCCTGGGGCCCCACGGGGGAGGAGGAGGGCCCCGAGCTCCACACGGTCCCCGGCGCCTTCGGCCCCACCACCGCCTACGTGTCCCCCACCCGGAGGACCACCATGGCCACCACCATCACCACGGCCACCGCCGCCACGTCCACGACGCTACAGAGCCCGGGCGCCACGGAGCCCCTGGGCCCGGGGCGGCGGTTCCCCTTCGGGGCCAGCACCACGGAGCCGTCCACCAGGCCCAGCAGAGACGCCAAGCCCCCCCGCGTCCTGGGGGAGAGCTCAGGTAGGTGCCTGGCTGGACGCGAAGGTGAGCCCTCGTCTGTCCCCCTGTCCTGCGGTGGGGTGGGAGGGAGGGGGGCCGAGGCGGGCTCCCGGCTTGTCCCCGCTGCTCACACAGCCGTGCCCTGAGGTTCAGCCCCAGGGTCACCAGATTCAGGGGTCGGGGGTTGCACGGTCCCTGGACAGCAGCTGCCCGGCAGCAGCGGGGGTGGGACGGGGCGTCTGCCAGGTCCGGATTCCTCCCAGGGTCTTTGTTTTCCTCTCGGCGGAGTCCTCAGCCTCCTGGTGGTCCATAGCCTCATTCCAGCAGCGCCTCCAGCCCGTGTTCCCCAAGAGCCGGGACCCCCGTCCTCTCTGGCTCCTCTGCTGTGCTCAGGGCCCCAAGGGACAGCCCCTGAGGGTTCTGACTGCGAAGTGGGTCTGATTCTAGGGCACCAGCCCACAGAGTGAGGGGGCCCGAAGCCCCCCGTGCCCTTAACTTTGGGTGCGGGTGCTGTTCTGGGGCCCCTCGGGGTCTCCCCTTGTAGAGGCGCCCCCTGGCAGCAACCGGGTTTCCTGGGCAGGTGCTCACGACTGGGCAGCGTGACTGCTCTGTGCCCTCCTTGTCCTGCGCCAGGGCGGGCATCTGAGTCTGGCCACGTGCTGGGCAGCGAGGGTAGCTCCATCCTTGCCCGCGGCTGGGCCCTTGGGGAGCAGTGCAGGGCTCCTTCACATGAGCATTTTTTCTCTACTGCCTGGACACCAAAACCTCCCTGAGCACGGCCTGGCCGCGGGCAGTGCCCCACACACTGCAGCAAAGGTTCCGTGCTGGGGACAGCCGGTCCAGTTAGAAAATTTATTCTGGGTGCAATGGACGCGGGAATCCACCTCACTGGATGCCAGTCTGCAAAAGGGCGCACGCACGGTTTCTCCTAATAGAATCTGGCGCCTGGCGAACTTGTTTAGCAAAACACGTTTCCAAGGGGAAATGGTGTGTGTTCACTTCTATGCAGAGAAACGTGTGTGGGGAGCTGGACGCTGCCCGGCCTGCTGGGCTTCCGAAGTGGATGTCAGGGCTGTTGGAAGCTTTTCCCCAGGGGGGTGCTAGGGACGGGGGGTGCTCCCTGCGTGCTTGGGGCAGAGGAGGGGCAGACGTGCCCGGCTAACAGCACATGAGCATCCCCAACTGTCGTCTAGGGGCCCTTCCCCACGTCACCTTCTAGTGTGGGGCTCTGCGTGTCTCACCCGGTCCCTGTGTGTGGTTCAGAGGCTGCCCCTCCCCCTGCCCTGCCGTCTGGCGTGGCTGGCTGGTCCCGTGAGTCTTGGGGGCAGGGATCCAGATGGGACCCTCCCACAGCACAGCCGAGACTCGGGGAGAGCAGCCTCCCGGGCCCCGGCCTGGCACAGAGCATTTGCCTGGTGTAGCTTGTGGCTAATATGCCAGCGATGGCGGTGGTGATGGTGATGATGGTGATGGATATTATAGTGATGGTAGTGATGGTGATGGTCGTGGTGATGGTGATGATGACGGTGACCATGACAACGGTGATGATGATGGTGGCAATGATGGTGATGGAGGTTATTGTGATGTTGGTGATGGTGGTGATGGTGATGGAGGTTTTAGTGATGGTGATGATGATGGTGACCATGACAACGGTGATGATGGTGGCAGTGATGTGATGGAGGTTATAGTGATGTTGGTGATGGTGACGTTGGGGACAGTGGTGAAGACTGTCACAGTGAGGATGGTGCTGGAGACCGCGTCGAAGGGATGAGAGCTGGCCGCCCTCCCTGTGATCATTTGCTCCCACATCCTTGTCTGGGGTCCTCGTGAGGCTTCTGGTGAGGCTCTACCCCTTTGTCCTCAACCTGTGCCCCAGACCGGGGCTGCCAGAGACGGAGAGTCGGAGAGTCACCTGGCTCGGTGTCTTGGGTGCTGGGTGCGAAGGGTGGCGGCAGAGAGGTCAGTGAGTTCATCTGAGGCCAGAGCACCTGCCACCTCCTGGCAGCCCTGCTGAGCCCAGTGCGAGGCCTGGGGCTGCCTGCCCGCCCGCCCCCACCCTGCCCAGCCCCTGCTCTCAAGGGGCACCCCCAGGAACGGCCACTGAGCCCTTCTCGGGACCTGGTCAACCCTGAATCCGGACCCCCTGCTGCTCCGGACACAGTGCTCGGCCCTCCATCCTCCCTCCTGCAGGAGCAGTTCACGTTGGAATTGGCTGGCACGTCTCCGAGGATGAGGTTGGCTTCCTGACCCTCCAACCTTGTCACCAGGGACACCCATGTCCTGCGAGTATCCCCGCAAGCCCCTTGACTGCCGTCTCCAGAGCTGCGTGTGGCACCTCAGTTCTCTCACCCTTCCCTGGTGCCGCCGGGTGGAGGCAGACACAGGGCAGACTGGACCCCTGCTGTCGAGACCCCAGAACCCCTTTGATTGGCCACGGCGTGTGCCCGAGGGGAGTGCATGTCTCTAGTTTAAGGGGGTCTGAAGCCGGTGACGTGCAGACTGCCATGGTTTGGGGCTACTCAGCCAGGCAGGCAGGGTTGGCAGGGGCAAGGCTGGGGGGTTCCCGCCTCTGTCATTCCCGCCTGTGCCCCACTTCCGCCCAGTGAGTGGGGGAACCGCAGGCCGGACGCGCCTGTCCGGTGCTCCTGGAACTGTGCTCTCAGCAGAGAAGCCTCCAGCGGCTCTGACTCATTAAAGGCCGCCCCCACACGCTCAGCCTCAGCCCCCCGGGGCTCATTCTGCTGCCACCAGCAAGTCCCGCCCGGAAGCTTCTCTGATGCCTGCACTGCCACGGGAAGCCGGGCACGGGCACTGCGGCACGGCCGGGCCCCAGCCCCGAGGCCCAGAGCTCTGATCCCCCAGCGCCGAGAGGACGGGGCCAAGGGCTGGGGGCTGGGCGGGCGCTGGCAGCTGGACTAGAGTCATGTGGCTGGTGAGCCCCTTGCAACGGCTGCCTCGTCCCAGGACTGGACACTCCCAGGGGAGGTGGGACAGCATGGTCAGCACACGGGCCTGCCCAGGGGGTCTCCCGCAGGGGAGTGTCACGGTGCCAGATGGAAATGGTTGGGAGGAGGAGGGAAGGGCCCGTCTGGGTTCCCAGGAAGCAAGGCCGAGTCTCGAGGTGGACGGGCAGTGTCAGCAAATAGGGCCTGGGGTGGGGGTGTGGTGGTCAGGAGTGCAGGGCTCCTGGAAGCCTGGAGGACTGCACGGTAGAGGGGGCCTGGGCGGGAGACCCCCTTCCAGGATTCCCAGCCAGGGCCTGGTCACAGCACTGAAGTGTCCAGCAAGTGCTGCTTTGGGGTCTCGGGGAGCTTCGGGTTTGAGGAGGGACAGGAGCGACACCCCCCCCCCGAGTTGTCAGCTCTGCCCCTTGCAGGGAGCCCTTGGGACCCCCATGGCTGACCCTGACTGGGTCACTAGCCACTAGCCTATGGCCCGGTCCAGCCCCCTCAGCTGTGGGTGACGGTCAGTGGTTCCTGTGATGTGACGTGGTCAGCGAGGGCCCTGCTGACCGCTGCATCCTGCAGGCCGCCCCTTGCCTGAGGACAGGGGACCAGATCCGAGAGGGAGGACACAGGCCCTGTGCCCCTGTCCTGGCCGGGAACCCCCAAGTCTATGCTCCCTGGTGGTCTCTGCCGTGTTCCTGAGGCAAGTCTAGTGTCATGGCATGGGGGGGGGGCACGGCTGGTCCTGGAAGCCGCAGGGCACCAGCGTCTTGGGGGGCAGGTCCTGCCCTGAGGGCCTTCTCCCAGCAGCTGACCAGCCCTTCCCACCTACCGAGATGGGGAGACCATTGCTCCCCAGGATGTCGGGGACATGTGGGCACAGCACTGAGGGTCCTCACGGGAGAACCTTCATCCATGGAGCAGAAGTTTCTGGAAATTTCCCTCAACCTTCGGTGCTCCGTCTCAGGTCCTTTCTGAGGAGCAGGGCAGCTGCAGAGGGCAGTGGGGACTGACCTTTGGCTTCTGTTCTCGGATGGAGAGAGGAGCCTGGGCGGGTCGCTGCCCCCGAGGGGTGATGTGGGGAGTGGACATTGACTCACACGCCCGAGGCTGTCCCCCCCAGCTCTGCCCTTGCGGGTGACCTTGGGTGTGTCTCCCAAGGTGACCTCCCTGCGTCTCCTGCCGCCCGAGCCCAGGGGTCAGCACGGCCTTCCTGCTCTGAGCCCCGGCTCGAGGACAGACTCTGGCCGGTCAGTGGGACGCCTGTCACTTTAGTCCCTTCTTGTGGAGCCCCTCCTCACATAGCCACCCCCCATCTGCCCCATCCCTGACCCCGGGTCTGTCCCTGCACCAAAGGGACCCAGAACAGACAATCTGAGGGACAGCGGCCCCCTCCCACCACCCCCATTTTCACATCTGTGCACCCCTCTAGATCCGCCCATAACTCGCCTGTACTCCCCCTGGCTGCCTGCCAGCATGGAGCGCCCGTCTCCTGCAGGCGTGCACAGAGACCCCCTGAGCGGGAGCATAGCAGGACGTCTGGGGCGCGAGAACACGGCATTCTTTCCCGAGTGACGGAGGCACTGACATTTGCTCAGGCTCCGACAAGAGGCTGCCATCTGGGCCCTGCGTCCTCTCCTGCCCCCGGGCCAGGGAAGGGGGCCGAGCCCCATGTGTGTCTTACTCTGCTGGGGGCACGCCCTGCACAGGACGAGGAGAGCCCAGGGGAGGGGGCGGGCTGGGGTCCATCACCCGGCCACCCTCAGGGCCAGCCTGGTCCCCCACCTGCCGAGTCCCCACGGACCGGGACTGCACCTGCCTCCTGCTGGAGGCTTCAGGGGCTGGCGAGAGTGTAGACACCGCAGTAGACAAGTAGACAAGCCTAGGTCTTGCATGGCACTGACCAGGGTTCGATCCCCGGCATCCCATAGGGTCCCCTGAGCACTGCCAGGAGTGATTCTTGAGTGCAGAGACACACAGCCAGGAGTAAGCCCTGAGCACTGCCGGGTGTGGCTCAAAGACCAAAAAAAAAAAAAACCCAAAAAGGGAAGGAAGGAAGGAAGGAAGGAAGGAAGG